AACGAATTTTTAAATGTTTCTGTAGCTTCAAGTTGAATTGCTGCACTTGAGTTTGGTTTATAAGCATTGTTTTTAGTTCGATATCTATTTTTATTTTTAGAATGTATGATTTTGACTTAAAATTAAACTAACGTATACTATATTGGTTAAAACACCTCTTCTGTATAATATTTCCGGTTTCATCTTAAAGTACTACTTAGTTGACAATGATAACATTTTTGATGCATTTAACAATATAATTTTTTCCTAAGAAATGAGAGTTATTTCTAGCAAAATTTTGTTGGTTTTATATAACATTACATTGTCAATATAATCGTATGCAATTTATCGAAACTTAAGTTATCCTTAAACTGACATGCATATATACATACATATGTTTGTATATTAACGGCATACCATTATGTAAGTAACATACCATACCAACTGTGGTTGTAATGACATCACAACTTCCCTACCCTATTCCCAGGTGAGACAGAGATTTGCCGATTTTACAGGGTTTAGTCAAAGGTTGCAGGAAAGGCGGTGATTTACGCACATATTCTGTAATAGAGCTTTGTGAGCTTGACGTAGGGTCTGAGTCTGCATTTCGTTGCTAGAAGTTTGTAACGTTTAGTCCAAATCATTTTCAATTCATTAACGAGAGAGGCCTTTGTTTCCGATTGAAAAATAATCATTAAAATCGATTCACGTAGTCCTAAGTTATCGAGGTGCAAACTTGCATAAACGAACAAAAATATTCCTATAATTTATAAACCACCTCTTGTTTCAAGTCGATTAAAAATAAGAAAACTAAAAAATATGGTTGAACAGTTGAAGATATCAAGCAAAAACCTTTGTTAATAATAGTTATTTATATCTAATGGTATTGTTTCATAGGTAAATTGTTCATATTCTCAAAATTAAAAATAATAGTTTCCGGGTTCGGTCGTAACTTAAGACTCTTAGGGCCGGTTACTCAATGTCTGGTTAACACTAATCTCCGTTTAAACATCATTATCGACGTGTTCGGCTCCATGCATATAACATGGAGTCGGTAACGTCGATAACGATGTTTTACCGGAGATTAGTGTTAACCAGACATTGAGTAACCGGCCCTTAGGGCCAAATTCACAGTGCGTAGTTAACCACTGATAAGAGTTTAACTATTGATTCATATTCATATATTGATCATTCATATTCGACAGCTGATTATGAATACGTGCATTTATATGAAAGGCTCTACCAAACCAAAGTTGGGCAACGCCAACGCAAATGCAAAACAGAAAGATGGCCAACTCTTAACTTTTCACGTGCGTCGTTCGCCAGCTGCTCAAAATAATCAAAATTATATGAAATAATTTTACTTTTCAATCAAATTCGGGCAATGAATATAGTTTTTAATGCAATTATTGATATAAAGTTTTGATTTATTTGCCGGTAGTCTGTTAATTTAGTGACCAAAGTATACACTGCTAAGCGTTCATTGTAGTAAGAACGGGCATTACTTGCGCTGCTTTCAAAACAGCGGCAGCGGCAGCGCCAACGCAACGCCAAAGTTGTATTTGGACGGGCCTTAAGTTCACGAGTTTCAGCGTTTTTTGTGTAATTTCAAAACTTGAGATCTTCGATACAGTGTTTTAGGACATCCTAAGCATGTATGAAACATGACTATTGGAAACAAAATATAACAGCAGTCACTCTCCGTACTCGGTTGGTAGTTTTACGTAAGAAATATGCAGAAATGCCTTTACGACTAAGATATCGAGGGCTTATATTCAATACCCTCTATCGGCATTTTTCACAAAAATGGGATTCTGATATAAAAATCCACCTAAGCTTAATTGTCATCGGTGATATTAATGCTGACCTTGTATAACGCTTGACAGAAGAATTTACTATTACATTGCAAAGTCAGAATTAACATAAGTGAAGACAGGTAAGTCCCAGATGGGTTCTAACATCACAAAGTATTTTTTGTGAAAATTTCAGATAGAGGGTATTGAGATAATTTTAAGTTTCGTTTTCGCGTATCCAATAAAAACATGTATTTGCTTAGATTTCCGTCCATCTATGCATACATACATAAGTATGGAGTGTTCTGTCTCGTAATGTTGGCCCCGACCCGTTGACTGAGTTTACCCCGATTCTCTAAGGTCACACATACCGCTTTGCCAGAAAAAAGTGCTGATAATGAATTTGCGTTGTTTTACGAAAGCGTCCTAAACTCTACAAAACATGACTTAAATCCATATGTACATCTCACAGATATCTAATTTTCCTAACCCTCCAAGCAATATCCTTTAAGAGAGTCGACCCCATTTCATGTTCAGTTTGCAACTTAGGGGCTGAAGAGAATACCAATCACATGACAAGCCCAGATGTCCGATCTATAAAGATATACATCTGAAATTCTTTGCGGTATCGCATTTAGACCTGGCTAAGGTAGTGTGCCTTGCGAACGGCAAATTCTTTTAAGCTTAATATCCTTATCTCAACGCGTGCCTTAAGTATAAAGAGTTCTTAATAAAATAGTTTTCATAATAAGTTTAAGTGTGTGTATTTAGTGCAGATTATTATAATTTGTCTTACTTCTTTTCCGACTAGCGACATTCGTCTGTCTTACCCCCCTATTCTAACAAGGCCACACAATTCAGTGGATCACTATTGTGATAAATACTACGCCTCAAAGTATGCCCCTAAAGCAAACATGCCGCTACAAAATAAAATTCAAAATTTTAGTGCACTTCATTAGCACTTAAAATCTATTTTTTGTGGCAGATTTTCAAGCGCAGCAGAAATCACAATAGTGGTGCGCCGAGTTTTGTAACATTGTTAGGGCCAATTTCACAGTGCGCAGTTAATTCAAAATCGGCAGTTAACTAGAGATTTAAAAAAAAAAAAAATCTGCAATTAACTGCTGATTCTGAGTTAACTACGCACTGTGAAATTGGCCCTTAGAATAGGGGGGTAAGTTGTATGTTCTCATTATTTTATAAGCACGTCGCTAAATATTTTAAGCATTAGTGTATATCTGTATTTTCTCTGAAATAAATAATATGAATAAATCCAGCAACAACAATAACATACAAAAGTATGTTTGTGTATATGTATATATGCATAATCATTTACGCAAACGATGAGAGTTTAAGTTTATTTTACACATATGTATGTGCATACATATCTATTATGTACACTGACAGCATTGGTCTATAACATCTTTAATCTTTTATGTCAATTGCACTTTATTGCGCCATAATTGCAACGCTGGATTGGTATCTATGACCTCTTTTTCAGATGGTTGATATCAGATTATGTTGTTGGATCCTTGCACTGATAGTTGCGTAGCCGGCTGGTTTTATTTATTCCCCTTACGGGTTTTTAAAAACAAAACTGCATTTACAGATCTGTATGAATGTATGTAGTATTACTATATACTTGATTCCGTTATTTGTATCCGATTTATTGGTCCACTTGTTTTTCCTCCGCTGCTAGGGTACTCATTCATTTACCAAATCTACGATGACAATATTGACATCAGCTAGAAAAATGACGTTACTTTCTCCGTCGCTACATTACTGCTAAATCATTATATAACATTTTTCTACTCAAACTCTTTAACTCACATACTTTTTAGTAACACAAACAATAATTGTTTCCATTTTTATGTATGCATGACTACAATATTGGCAAATATCACTAGTATGGTCTTTACACTGCGGGATAGAGCTGCAAAACTATCGGTTGTATTATCGATAGTATCGACAGTTTTATTTATGGAAAAAACATCGATTGTTTTCGGGCGATAGTCGATAGTTTCGATAGTGCGGGTGTATTGAATTTTTGTGATCTGTACATTAATAAGTGACGCTGTGAATTTAACTAACTAAGAAAAACACTTAAAATTTCACGTTCAATACTACGTTCAAGTTGACGAGCTAAACATGTTAAATGGGCTTGAACCAGTTAAATGAACAAAACATGTTCATAAACAAGTTAAATCGCATGCCATTGTTGTTGGAAAATTGAACCAGTTAAATCATTTAACTCGTTTGAAAACCAGTTCAGAGCAGAGTTGTATCAGAAAGCTTTCGGCTCCGGCCAATCAGAAAGACCCAAAAGCTTTCATTTGACACGCCAGCCAACGTTCAAAAAATTTATATTCTGAAAAATGATAAATATTAAAAATTATCAAAAAATATCAAAATTGTGTGCATGTCTGGCCGCCAAAAAAGAGGCCAAGGCGGTAATTAGTTATTTGCCATGAGGTCTCATCGTACGCAGAGATTATTTATGCATACGAACTAAACATTTTGAAGTCTCTAAGTAATCCGTATGCGTTAATATCATGAAGCAGACATTCGCACAAAACAAATTGAAACCCAAAAACAAACAAATATTTATTTTCGAATTTTTATTGGTAAACAAACAACCGTCAAAGTTAACTTCAAATGTTCAATGTGGACGGACGATTGTGTTTTCCAAAAAGCTCTTTTTCATTAATATAAGATATAAAAATTTATACTTACATATGTGCAATATTTACATTTACATATGTAATATGTATATATTATACACATTTTGTTCGGAGTTGAAGTTTCCCTACATATACAACACGATAGTATACGATACTATCGAAAATATCGATAGTATTTTCCAAACTATCGAATGGCGTCACTAGTCGATAGTTTTGCAGCTCTACTGCGGGAACTATTCAAATATATGCATGTAAATACTTTATTTGACATTTATAGAAAATGTTCAATTAAACGGTTTCAATAACCTAGGCGTATATGTATGTACATAGTATGTATGTGTGAAGTGGTTCTATTTGCCAGCTTGTGCATATGTACAGTCAGAGTTGGGCATTATTCGAATAAATTGTTATTTAGATAATTATTCGAATAAAATTTTATCCGTAAAATCTATCCAGGGTTTTGAGTTAATTCCGAACAACGAAAACGGCTATCATTTTATACATAAATATATGTACATACCTATATACATAGATTACTTGTTTTATTATTATTTTATTCGTTGATGGAATAATAAATGAAAATAATAATTATTCGAATAAAATAATTTATCCATTATTCGAATAATTTTTCTTTGAATAAACAAAGTTATTTGTTATTTACGAATAACGAGAAAAACAATTTATTAATTTGTTATCCGTCATTCGAATAAATTTTGCCCAACTCTGTGTACAGTGAGTGACTGTCAAAATCGTACAGTAAATTTTTTTCATTATTTTGAAAATATTTTGTTTTATTTAAAATTTACAAATTTTTAATAATAATATAGTTCATACTGCAACAAAATCCATAAAACTCAAAGTTTCTAACTTTGTAACAACTAAAAAAATCGCAAAATGTTCATCAAAATTTCACACTTTTTATTCACAATTTTTCGATTTTTTTTGGGTATGCAGTTTAATAGGCCATTCAATTTTAATATGGCATGAAAGTTTAAAGTCGCTACAAAATACCGTTGATTTTTTTTTTTTTGTTGATGGTGTTGCGCATTTTCTTCCATATAACGCATGAACAAAGTCTATTTATATATGGAAGAAAATGCAGAAAACCCTCGACAAAAAATTGCCAAAAATCAATGGTATTTTGTAGCGACTTTAAACTTTCATGCCATATTAAAATTTAATGGCCTATTAAACTGCATACCCAAAAAAAATCGAGAAATTCTGAATAAAAAGTGTGAAATTTTGATGAAAATATGACCATAAAACTGCATACACAAAAAAATTCTGAATACAAAATTTTGAATTTTGACGATTTTTTATTGTTACAAAGTTAGATACTTCTAGTTTTATGGAACGATATTTTTATAAAAACTTAATATAATTAAAATATAACCAAATATTTTCAAAATATGGAAAAAAATTACTGCACTGTTTTGACTGACACTCACTGTATGTATTCTTTAACCTATCGCTATGCAATTTTGAAAACTCTCGTTTATTATGAATACTTTCAACATTGTTACATTTACTTTTTTACTTACAAGAAGGCAATTTTTTAAAACTCACTTTTATTTATTTGTAATTTCCGATATGTACAAAGGTATGTCAAGTATGCACGGTAGCTTACAGCCCGATTACAATGGATTTACCATAGCCAATTTACTCACAATTTTTCAAATACATACATTTGTATATATCCTGAAAACGGCAGTGCCAAAAAATCGAGCTATTAGGCGTGTTTCTTTTACACACATACGTCTCTGCGCTTAAAAATTGTATGGAGCTGTAAGCGACAAACTTTATGAGTGCTTATGAATAGTTGTCGATAAAATCAAAATTACTTGTTTTGAAATGGAAATTGTCGATGATTATTTTTTTACACGTTAAGCGTAGATGTATGTGTATGCGTGTAAAAAAAAACACGGCTATTATTAGTCTATATATGTATGTATGTATATACAATACAATTTTATTGCTATTAATGAAAATCGAATGCAGGAAAAAAAAATTTACTACACAAAAGCTATTAATCAAGTTCTACTTATTAGAAGTGCTTTATTACATCGGGTTATATTGGAGAATATACACATTAGTATAATGAAATTTTTCTTCACATTAATTAAGTTAAGACTTTGTTTGCAAAAATAAGGGACCACTAAGAATAAGGTTTCTAATATTACCATTTTAATTCTGTAAAAACTTAATATCAACTAAGTAAGTTATTAGCTTTCTATTTGAAAATAAATTCGACAGTTTATTTTAATGTAATATAAGAGTCCGAAATATCTACAAGTTTTTTAGAGCGGAATCCACTACGTTCTTTTTCAATAAGAAATTATCCCCTTTATTATTCTTTAAACATGTGATTTAAGTCGAAAACTGCATACTTGTAACGTACCAGTATTTTTTACTAATTGAATTATCTAGTAAAAAATGTGTAGTTTAGTAACAGAGAATTCTCATTTTTTTTTAGCTTTACGACGCGTTATTGTCATCTTTGTTATTGTAATTACACGTCAAATGGTAAATCTGCAGAATTCATGCTTTTTATTTCGAAAAACAAAATAACAATTAAAATGTTATGTAACAGTTCGCGTTTTGAGCTCTATGGATATTTCTAAAACTTGTTTTTTAATATTTACAGGAAATTAATATTTTTAAAGACTAAAGTGGTACAACGTTTATTAGGAAAATCTCCCACATATATGTATATGCATGTCTGTATATATTCTTACATAAATAGCATTTATAAGGTAAATATATAAATAAAATAATTTCCACATTGCTACCAACTATATACTGTACTATTGTAAGCTGGGGTCGTTGGATCGAATCCCAGTGAAGAAGTCTGATGAGGAGGTGTGGTGATCTCCGAAATATCAGCTATAACTTCTACCATTTATAAATTATTTTTGTTTTTCCACAAAAGTTTTCATTAATAACGACCTCAAGCCCAATAAAACTTAAATTAAATTTTTTTTGTAAAAATATATAAAGTGCAAGTTTGAAGTTGCAAGGGCTGACCGTTGAATTTTGGCAACTTTTTTGTACAAGGTGTTGCTCGTATTCTTCCATATATGCACATAAAAAGATGTTCAAGCATACTTTGAATGGAAGAAAATACACAAGACTGTCAGCAAAATAAAAGTGCCTAAAATCAAAGGTAAACCTTAGCAACTTCAAATTTGCGCTTTATTACACAAGAATTAACATAATCCAAATCTTTCTAAGAGATCTAAATAAAAAGCTTGAAATTTTTATGAAAGTTTGTTCAGTTGTTTTTAATATATTGTCGTTAAAGAATATTCTATATTTTATAAAAAAAAAATTACTAAAATCTAATAACAAAAAAAAATTGTTAAAACTTGTCAATATGTGGCGGCATTTTAATTTTGAAATGGGGTATATTTTCAAATACTGTATAAAAATTTTTAATACGGAAAGTCGTACAAATAGTACAAATGATCAAAAAATAGTTTCTTTTATTTGGTTACTCAATTGGAATGCATCTACAACGTATACATAAATTATAAATAAAAAGCTGTCATGGATTAGTGTGAAACCATGATAAAAAAATTACAAGGTAGAATCAATCTCTCAATTCGTCGGCCATGATGACGTTTTCAAGCATTTTAAAACCATATAAAATTGAAAATAAAACAAGTAATTTTCAAGCAAAAAACAAAACCGACTTCAATTTTCAAATAAAAATTTAAGAGTACCGTTAATTTCTTCATGACCCAAAGATAGGATCTAAACCAAATTAGTATAGGTCCATCTTTGAGGTACCACCTTTCCTTTAGAAATAGAATTAACTACAGAAATCAGTTAACGTGGCCAAAAGTTATGCGGTAACAAAAAAAAAAAATATTCCGAAGAACTGATAACCTGTTGTTGTTTGATTCGACACTATCCTATTTGAGTATTTGCCTTGAAAAATTTATATAGCAAAGCCGAATGTCAAGAAAATAAAGCGAGAAAGTTATCTACTACTTCACCTGTTTATAATTTCACCATGGACGACAACGACAATTGTGAAATTATCTTATAAAATTATTGTATGTATATGTTGACAGTTGCATAACATTTTTCATATGATCAGATTATTATGATTCGACAAGATTAACAACTTCATGTGCTAAGAAGGTAGGGCAATTACTAATTTACACCATTGTTTTTTTTTTGTTTTTTTACAGTTTTATGAAAGTATCGCAATCGGCGGAAATACTACAAGTATAAAGGTAATAAATACAATTAATGGCAAATTTATATGTAGGTATATATAGCTAGGTATATAGTTCGTACATATGTAAATATACAAAAAAAAAAAAACTTTGGATAAAAGCGTGAAACTCAACTACAATAAAATATATATTTTTCTATCAACAAATCATTAATGCTACCTTAGTATGTATCTAGAACTCTAGTTGAATATTTATAGCTACTACATATATATTTGTTTAAACCAGTATAAATGCGAATATATGTACATATATTGTTTTATTTAGTTGACTTCTTTTGTAACCGAGCTGCAAAAGAACACTATGTATTTATTATTACAGCGTATTACAGTTAAGGCAAAAACACGAACCCGGTAGCATACACGGGATGGAACTACATAACTTCGTTAAACGATAAGCGACTCTTTAGAATATTGTAGCCAAACACCAACTCGTACCAAAATGTCAATACGTTTATAATTAGCAAGTTTGTTTATGGATGTATTGGCTAAATTCTTTAAAAGAGCCCATTTGATTTCCCTTTCGACTATAAAGTCCTTAAAATATATTACACGTTTGTTGTTGGAAGATGCTATGCACTTGGATTTTTTTAACCGCCTTGAGTATACTTTTGTGACTCAGTTACAAAAAAACAACAGTGCATATTTAGATTTTTTTTTAAATACATAAAGGGTAATCACAATCCGGTGCATATGGTCGTGCATTTGCATATTTCGGTGAATTTGTAAATAAAAAAATGATTGCTACCAAGGCAACCGTTTGCAATTTATTGCAGTGAATGTATAAGTGCATCGAAATATGCAAATGCCAGACCATATGCACCGGACTGTGATTACCCTTTTAGGTAATTACATATTTGTTGTATAAGTAGAAATGAGAGTGTATTACATAAGGTCCCCTAGTTCTGTAAGAATAATATAAAAAATACCAATGAGACGCCTAACAGTGTTTCTCTGTTTACAAATGCTAAGTTTGCATTTACATTTATACATAAGTATATACACTTGTTGGCATTTAAAAAAGAGGCAAATTTATAATCTCCCGTATAATGTTGCGTTATTGGAAGGCTATACTTACTCAGTAGACTCAACTGTTGGTGTCGTGGGCATGATCATCAGAATGCAGTTAACCAGAATAGTTGTAATGATAAATAACGAAAATAACGGATGCACTAAAATGTAAATGGCTACGCGACGTATAGGATTGAACGGGTCGAGCAACCACATTGCTTTGGATGCAGAAAAGCGAAAAATATCTTTTCCCTTACTTACAACTACAAAGGTCTGCAAAAAACAACACATTCAAAAATTATGTTACCAGTTTTTTTGTGATTGTAAAAAAGGTTTTCATATTTTTTTGTTAAATTATTAATTGATTGACTTACCAGTACGTTGTTATAGTACGGATCAATATCCTCGAGAGGAGTGGAGGCCAATTCCGGCGGGAAGCTGCCCTGCAGTCGAACAGGTATTGGCACACCCTGTTCAAGTGTAGGATCCGGTTGTGGACCTTCATCCTCGTCCTCGTCATCATATCGGATCTAAGTTTTTCGCGCAATTATTTTCCATTGTATGTAGGAGTAAGTTTATGTTGTGCAGTACGAGAAATATTTTTGAAAGATAGGTTAGTAAAGTCTCGTTGGCAATTACGGAGTAAAAACTGTTTTATGAATATAAAATAATAAACGTAATGAAAATCAACCTAAATTATTATTTTAATAGTGTATAATTAAGATGATACATATATGTATATGCAGTGGTGGGTATTTGTAGAGCGAAATTTTGCTTCAAACGAATTAGAATTAAATTTTGATTCCTAATCGAGTGTGGGAGTTGATGACTTGCATTTAATTCTTAGAACTGAAATCCTCGATTTTGGTCCAAATTATGCATTTTACAATAGTTGAAGTGCGTAATTTCTTAGATCCTTTAAACAATGTGAAAGTTATTTATTTAACATGTCGCTATTTGTAAAAAGGTGGGGCAGAAGTGTAATGTAAATAAGATTTTAATAAGAAGCGAGTGTAACAGCAGAACTACAAAAAATGCAATATACTTATTAACAGTGGCAATAATATAAAATCGATTGTACACATTTAAGCCATTCAGAATCAGAAAAACTATGGGGGTATTACTTCAAAATACAAATCAAATAAAAAATTAATGTGCAGAATAGGAGGCAACTCAATTTTAATAGTAACACTATGCTATGTAGTTCATTTGAATAAATAATCCCGAAACTTAAAACTCCACATACCATACCATGTGAGTGGAGTAAATTATTTACACTTATACGAATAATTGAATCTACAGATGTAATTCAAACATCAATAACAACTGTAACGCAGTAATACCTAAATTGATTAAAAACAAAATGTACTAACCTGGAACACAGCTGACCCTACCAGAAGCTGCATACTAAAGCACAGTACTTAAATGGTCTGTACCACAAAACCACAAAAAATTTAAGGCCTTCTGCTTTCGCTACCAAGATAAGGGCTTTTGTAGGCAGGGACGTGAACCGGATGAAAAATTTGGTCGGTTCGGTTCAGTGGTTCGAACCGTTTTTGAACTTTTGGATTGGTTCATCAAAGCGGTTTTTTTGGTATTTGAACCGGGGTTTCGGTTCGGTTCAACGGTTCGAAAAACAAAAAAATTACGCGCAAGGTTAAGGGCCAAGTGTCTGTCAAACGAGATGAGTCGCCTTACATTTGATATTGTCACATGGTAAGCAAACATGGTAGGTATTACCATGTTTAACAAAAAGAAAAAAGTGGGTACATTTATCTATTGAAAATTGGTTGAAACGAACGTTTAAACCTTTATAGAAAGTGGTTCGGTTTTCGGTTCGGATCAAACATTCGGTTCGGTTAATGGTTCAGTTAATTAATAGAAAAAAGCGGTTTTCCGGTTCAAAACCGGTTCACGTCCCTGTTTGTAGGTATACTTCAAAAAGCCTTTTAGGGGTTTCTTCTAAAGCTACTTCTTTAATTCATGAAAATCATGCATTTTGAGGTACAATTTTTATATAAGGTTGGTTGCAAATCAAAATGTATATTGAAATTCATTTGTAGTTTTAAATAATATAAACTTGCACATACGCGTAGATTTTAATAAACAAATCCCTTCTAGAAGGTGAGCAGGGAAGAGCCTTCTTCAGCCCTTCTTTAGTAAGCCTTAATAAGGTCTACCTAACTAAATTATATTCTTGAGTATTAATCGATATACATTAGACTGCATCACTCCCCATCAAAAAAAAATCATCGGTACTATTTTTCCATTGGAATTATAAAACCTACTATATTTTAAGACGTCCACCAAAATATTTCGGAAAAATATTAAGATTTAAGTGAGCTGGACCGATTTGAAAATACCTCCAAAAATGGAGTTTTTTATGAATAAAAATAGTTTCTTAAAGATTTTTTTTTTGAAAAAAGCCCTCAAATGCAAAACGGTTAAGCTTAAAATATTTGCATATAAATATTTAAAAAATTTAAATTGCTGCCCTCCCAAAACTACCTACTTACATAAGTAATTATGTACATAGATATTTATAACTTTTGTTACAAAATTTCTGTTAATTTTATTACGACTTTTTCACAAAAAGATTAAGCAACGAAATGTTAAATATTGAGTCCATTTTTACAAAAAAAAAAAATAACTCAATGCTCATACATACATAAGGGCAGGTTTTCTGAAATATTATTTTAGAAGCACAGTCAGTTTATGAAATTTTATGTACATATGTACAAATGGGCAAACAACTAATTTCGCTCTTTTGAAATTGAGTTACGTGAGTTCATATTGAAGTATGATATAAAATTAAGTTTGCAGTCTACATACTTATGCCACTAAATTCAAGAAATTTCAACATAAGAACAAATTTTTTGAAATGTAATAAAATTCACTACAAATAATGACAATGTGGATCGCCAGCATAACATTTCAATAAAGTTACCTCTTACCCACTGACGGTGCGATAGTATCCATCGGATTCATATACAAACACATATTTTCAATTGCTATAGATATGAGTTACAGAATGAATGGCAGGGCTACGCAATCATAAGTCGGGAAACTGATTTCGCCGCAAAGGGCGGTAAAAATTGGGCTCGAAACCACCTTTAGTATGAATACATACATACATTGGCGTTAAACTGCAACAAATATATGTTTACTTGTATAATTGAGGAGTGTCTAATTAAAGATGATGTTTCCACTATCCATTATTTAACAGGATGGTAAGGTTAAAAAAAAATAAATAAATATTAAACATGTTTCGAAGTGTGGTAGGTTTTCGAATGTGGCTCGTCACGAAGGTAATAGTTATTAACCAAAAAACTAAAAAATTAACGGAAATGGAAATACGAATACATATCATCTTTTGATCAGAAACTCTTCAATTATTTGTTGTTGTTGGTGGATTTTTTCGACACAGATAGATATGTATATACACAAATACATACCAAAATATTTATGAAGAAGAAAGCTTTTGCATACATATATACATATGTAGATACATATGTATGTACATAAGGATGAGTCAATCATCAGACATCTGCGTAGTATGGTCAAAAGAAAACTATTTATGTATTTATCATTTCCTACCTAACTATAACAAAAATACTTAAATCAAACATTCTCTATAAATTCACTGGAACCCTTTTAATACCTAATCCCATCGATTTTCAATACTTTTATATTAACACGTAATGGCCACACGGGATCCAGTGGACTCCAGACCAACTTTGCGGCTATCGATTTTGTGAATCCACTTATTATTACTTTAGTTTAGTTGAAGAATTATTATTTTTAACGCTATTAATGTGTTGTTATCAGGTTGTTGTTGTCTAACAATAAAATACACTACAGAAAAATTATGTTTAACCAGATAAGCTGATAACCAGGCAAGCGTGAACAACAACTATGAGAATGATTAAGTGGTCGAATTTTGCTCACTGGAGATTCTAGTGTTAAATAAATATGCCGGGTTGACATCTAAGCGTAAGCGTTTAATAGGGCAGGGACTATCCGTATATTCGGGTATCCTGGTATATGTAAGTTCGGATATTCGTGTATACGGATAATATCCGGAAATACAGTTGATATTCGTTTATTTTTTTATACCGATATCCGAATGTCCGGTTAATATCCATGCATTTGGTCATTCGGATAATGTTATCAAAATTACTGAATCTATCAAGTTGCAAAATAGATAATACAACCCTTTATTAATACTCAAATACTTGTTGTTGTTTTATTTTTAACTTTTAGAATCGATTGGATTTTTTATTCAAATATCGAATATCCTGATTTACTAAAAAAGAGAGTTTAAGTTTTAGGGCAGCCATAATTCAAATCAAATGCAACATGAATTTAAGTTTGACATGCTGAAACCATATCCAAACGAAAAAAGTTGAAAAGTTGAGTTTAACGCTATTAATATGTAGTTATCAGGTTGTTGTTGTCTAACAATAAAATACACTACAGAAAAATTATGTTTAANTACTAGAAGTATTTACTCGTATTCACACTTTCGTGGTTTTTTATTATGAACAAAATATTAGTGTTGGGCAGTATCTATACCAAAAGTCCTCAGAACTCGATTCTCAAAAGGATCGACAGCACCCAATTTTTTTAAAGGAGTGAGTAGTGAGGACTCCAAAGAACTCAGTACTCACGAAAGAGCTCGAAAGTACTCAGCACTCAAAAAAGGAACTCGAAAGTACTCAGAACATTAAAGAACTCGAAAATACTCAGTACCCAAAACTACTCTGTTCCTATAATCGCTTTGATACATGTACTCAGGATCGATTCAAAATACTTAGTATTAAGTGTCAAATATACTTAAAAAGTACTGAGTTTTATTTATATTTAGCGGTATTCAGAAATGATTGTACTCTATTTGCAGTTTCAATAATTTTCAAGTGCAATACTTGTACCCAGTAAAGTTAGCCATTCATTTGACGTAATTTTGGATTCATATATTAATTTTAATAAGATACTGCCAGCTTGTGAGATCTCTACACTAAGTATTGTAATGTTAGCAACATGTGTATATTTAAAGAAAGTACTCAGTACTCTGTAAAATACCCGATTCTTAAAAGTATCGATACCAAAGAGCTAGATCCTCAAAAGTACTCGATACTTCCCAACACTACAAAATATATAACCCAAAAACCACAAAGGCGTGAATAAATACCTATGAAATTGTTGCGTTATTTCTGTGCTTGAGGGAAAATTAGAAATGTAGAATTAGAACGTTCTAGAATGTTAAACCCCGTACACTTTTCCTGCTTGTTTGCGTTGCTTTATCATCTTGGGCTAATGCTAAATATTTTAACGAATGGAGTTAAAATAAAAGATTTTTCTGCTGCAGACCCATGCGAAAAACGAAATAGCTGAATGCAAATGTGTATGCATAAGTAATGATTTAAACAGGATACTATTACATACATATATTAATACATATGTAAGTAAGTAATTATTAAATTCTAGTCATGCATGTCTGTATGTTTGTGCTTGTTTGAATTTGCTGTTACGCGGTCTTAGTTATGTTAAACCGAAATGTGAAAATAAGAAAGTATGTAAGTATTGAGTTAAAACTAATTTCAGAAGTCTAAACAATTTAAAAGCTCACTTTAAAGCTGTAATCAATTGTAGTTTGGCAAAAAATAAATAATATCTTATTTGAGTAGGTACAATGTGCTAAGAAGGTATGTAAGAAGAGTAGACAAGACAAACGAAGCTGCTTGAATAAAGTGTTATGTAATATGTAGATTCGCTATTTCTGAAAAGTCTTACTTCTTTTTGTTTTTTCTTGCGACCATATTGCGGCTGAATGAGGATTTTTGCGACATTTTATATGTCATTATCGTTAATGTAGCATTTAAATGTTTTATAAGAGACAATAGAGGACCCCGAAAAAGGAAATGTACATAAAAATAGGAAGAGTTTGTTTGTTTGTTCGGTTATGATTTTAGGAAGAAAAAGATAGAGAAAAAGAGAGAAATAAGAAACAAAATGATATGTAAAACTTTCTCACCAGCATACGTTTTAAGTTTAAAATTTTACCAAACTAATTATTATAAGTTTATTGTATTGGTATTGGTGATGATTGATTATATTGTTGAAAGCTGTGATCAACTCTAAACTTTGGATGGACGATGGAACAATTGCTTACAAGGAATTAAGTGAAATCGAAATCTGCAAATCTAATATGAAACAATCATATATTTTGTGGTCATAAATGTTTTGAGTGAAGCTAAGTGAAAGTTTTGTATGCATATATTTCTCCCTGTGTACTGTACCCTTTTGTTTGCTATACATCAGTATACTAACTGTAGAAGTATTATGTGAATATGTAGGGTATATACATATGTATGTGGTAAGTGAAGTTTTCAAACAGTCCGTATCTTCGCATGATAAAAAATTATTACAAATTAAATACTCAATATAATAAGCCTTTTACCATTAACTAAACCAATATGTAAATTAAAGCCAATAAGGCAATGAAGCCAATAGTTAGAACACATACATATACAACGATTACTTTCCAACATATACTAAATACATAAAGTTATGTACTCAAAAAATTCTGTTTCTGTCCGTAAGATCATATGGCTGTACTTGACTTGTATGTATTTTAATAGAGAAGTCACAAGGTATCGTATTATCTTAATAACATGCATTTTATATCGATTAAAAATAGTTTAAGTTGATTCATACTTCAACTAAAATGTACTTTTAACCGTTTTAAAAATTTACGGCATTAAAATACGAATGTTAAGTATGTCTGTTAACACACCTTATGAATTCCCTAAATATACGATTGATTACACATAGAAATGAAGACCTTAATGAGGAAAACAAACGTTTATTGTATGTACAAGCGAATGATGAACTTTGAATTTAAAAATTAAGTCAAAATATATTTGTACGTACATTGCCATGCCGTACATATGTATGTACTTGTAAAGTATAATTCCCAAATAAATCATGTATGTCAATGTTATGTGGATAGATATGTATGTATAGGCACAAAATATTTACTTTTAAAGATGGTGGCTTATGAAGATACAAGGATAGTCTGACTTGAAATTGCTAGAATTATTTTCTAAACAAGAAGGGTGTGATTAGGGTAAATCTAGAATATAGGAAATAGTTGTATCCATATTTTTCTTTTGCTAATATTAGTGTTTAGTTTTAAACAATAAACACTGTTTAGAACATTCAAATAGAAAATGTACAATAGAATCACATATAAATAGTAGAAGCCTATTTTAATAAGTTTTCAAATTCAATGCAAGCATATACGAAAATGTACGTTGTGCCACGTTTAATAAAATAATAAAACAGGAAGTTAATATTAATTAAAGACATCAAATATGTACTTCTGCCTTTTTAAATTTGTTTCGTTGTATTTTAAGAAAACACGCAAGGTAAATACCAAAACACATACGAGTATGTATGTATTGTCGCCATTTACATACATGTCAATTTAGGTAAATTTCTCAACACTTTGAATAAGGGAAGCAAATTATTGTATACAATCTCAATCGATAATTGGGGATATGTTTTCAATAGCATTACTAGTAGTTATAAATGAGGTGCATTCGTAATACATATTGTACCTAAAATGATTGTGATTTGAGGTTTGATAAAACGAAAGACAGAGGGAGAAAAGGGGTGAAACATGAATTGATTTAACTTTGGATTCATCCTTTAGGGTGCTGGACTCCCAAAATCAACTTCAACTTGTAGTGTTTATACTAAACTTAAGGAAGGATCTATGTGGAAGTGAGAAATGTGGAAACAGGGCCTCTTTAACTGCTAATTATTATTGGTCTACAATTTCTTGTTGAAATAAAAAAATTAACATCAGTTATGTAAATAAATAGTAAAAGGACTATAGGGAGTAGTCTAACAAATAAATCTAAAAAGGATAATAGATAGTAAATATGTACACGTGTACATCGTACTAGAATTGAAGATACTTAGTAGAAAATAATTAATAATTGCTGTAAAATTGTATAACTCGAAATAAACTATTTACCACCTCGCCCTCGGCTCTCTTTCTTTCAAACTCCTTCTGTTTTTCATGTTCAATGGCAATGCGTTTTTCAATTTGAATCAATGATTCTCGGGTAAAGGGACGGAACAAGCTACGTTCTTCCTCAGATATCGAGTCGGAATCTTCTGTCATTGTCTATACGGCCAGCGATGAGAGCCTCAGATTTCCAAGGCCTGTAAAATTAATTTCAAAGTTTTCAAGTTGTAGATAAAAAATAATTAGTATTTAATCAGAACGGATAGGTGCGAGAGTCTTACATGAGGCACATGGATGTCGCGGGTTAGCTTTGGATAACAGCTATATCCGAGGCGCCATCTTCAACTAGCGCCCTCCACTTTTACAAATCTGAAAATAGACAATAAATGCAGCATAATAGTAATGATATATATAATATAAAAACTCATTCAGTTCAATTGTTTGTGAATAAAATTTGGGACGAAGTACGTTATTATTCTTAATAATATTTTTTTTTTACAAATCTGGTTTTTCTTTGACATATTTTTAATATAAAAATACTTTACAATTATTTGCCCCAATTCGTGTGACAGTTTCAAGACGCAGATACTCTAGGTCGACTCTTACAGTCAGCCAATAAAGTTTAGGCACAGCGAATTTTTCACAATACCGACAACAATTTTTTAAATAATTTATTTTTCGCTACATATGTATATAAAAATCTGCACACATACATATTTATATTTCACATTAGGCCGGGTCAATTTTTGTGGAACGATTTTTTTTTTCATTGTTGTTTTGTTCCCAAGGACTCTTCAAAACTAAAACCGAAATTAGAAAATTGTCGAGAACGTTCTGAATGGGAATTAAATAAGAACAAACCCATGTGGAACGTTCCCAAAGAGGAGAAATTGCGAAAAATTCGGGAGCATTTCTAAGAGAACAGAAGTCTCTGCAACGTTTTGGAAAGAACAAAACGCGATCAAAATCTTAGGAAGTTTCTCTCGAAGAACAATTTTGGAACTAGAGTCTCAGGAACTTTCTGACAGAGAACGAAACGAGAAGAAATATTCTTTGAACTATTAGCGAAGAAAGGAAGAGAACAAAATTTTTCTCATAGCGTTCCATTATTTTGAATTGTTTGCATTTTAAAATTAATCAGAAAATAACTGAAACATAATTATAGTACAAATAAAGTCAACTAAAGACTTCAGACACAAACTTGTCTTTCACAGAAATAAAAATTGTTCGATGTATTTTGGAACGAATTTCCGTCATCCCTTGTCAAATTTGGTTTGGAGACAAACCGGTTTCGGCGTTGTGCCATCTTCAGTGTAATTTTTCGTTTCGTTGTAATGATAAACGATCTGGAAGTTGAAATGATCCAGCTTTCCTCTGGCTTTGAATTAACAATTGTGGTTCTCACTGAAGCGATTTTTGATTCCAACACGCAGATGATCCTCTCATTCTTAACGTAAGGTTATAATACTTTTGTTCTCAAGCAGAACGCCCACCAGACTAAACCAAAACTGGAATGCCTTCTCTGCCACTGTTTTTTTGTTACATCTCCTTTTTGACATCGTTCCCAGCAGATTCGGATTCTACATGAAATTCTCAGAAAACAAAAATCCACTAGGGAATGGCTTAAAAATCAATTTTGTGGAAATGAATTTGAAGCCGCATCCCTTACACCACTACCCTGACGAAAAAAGTTAACCAACTTCTAGTTAGCTTTTTTGGGGGACTTCGATAAATAAATAACTTTAAACTAGCTAACAACAAAACTAACTTTAAGTTAGTTGTAAAGTCGTGCAGACGTTATCGGAAGTTCGTTTTCTTTACAAGTTTCTATTTAAATATCCACACAAAATTACGGCCAAAGGAAATACAGTATATTTTGCTTTGCTGCCTCTATGCTTAAGTGCACATTTAAGATACCTACCCCAAAATGCGCATCAAAAGCATTATTTTTAACATTTATAAGGAAACTGCTCCGATAGATGCATTCAACATAACTGCACATTGGCGATACCTGCCTTAAAAATTGTCCGACTAGTATCAATTACACTGTGAGACAAATGGTAGGGGTCAGTGATCGGGAAGGGTTCAAACTACCGGGGAAAGTTATATCGGTAAAAAAAGAAGTTATACGTGTCCCGGCGTTTCGCTGGGTCACGTCTAGGAATCGAGATATATCGATTTGAAGTTAGTAACTATCATATAGGGGAAATTGTCACCTTTGGTGGTCTTTTTTTTGACATAACTCGAGAACCACTAGTCCGATTTTGCTCAAACAAATTAAAAAAAGTTAAATTACAATTCCTTTAATCTGTTCATATAACGTTTTTCTATATAATCAACAGTTTTGCCGGTAAAAATAAATGTATGAAGAAAAAAAATATTTTTTGCCCAAAATATTAAATTTTTGGTGGTCTTTTTTTTGACATAACTCGAGAACCACTAGTCCGATTTTGCTCAAACAAATTTAAAAAAATTAAAAATTACAATTCCTTTAATCTGTTCATATAACGTTTTTCTATATAATCAACAGTTTTGCAGGTAAAAATAAATGTATGAAGAAAAAAAATATTTTTTGACCAAAATATTAAATTTTTTTATTTTTTTAATTTTTTTTTTTTTTTGAATTGTTGGATTTTTTATGAATTAAACTGTTGAGTATATAGAAAAACGTTATATTAACAGATTAAAGGAATTGTAATTTTTAATTTTTTTAAATTTGTTTGAGCAAAATCGGACTAGTGGTTCTCGAGTTATGTCAAAAAAAAAGACCACCAAAGGTGACAGTTTCCCCTATATGATAGTTACTAACTTCAAATCGATGTATCTCGATTCCTAGACGTGACCCAGCGAAACGCCGGGCCACGTATAACTTGTTTTTGACCGATATAACATTTCCCATTTGTTTCATCCCATCCCGATTTTGACTGTCGCAATGTAGTTATATAGATAATTAGATAACATTCGGTAAAAATTTCGCTTGCAGTAATTTCTACATGGTAAGTGCTCCGCTAATATTTGGTTTCATAGGGATTCGGATACCTTCCTCATTGAAGTAGTAAAGAAAATTCGCTTAAGTGCCTTTTTCGGTTACGTGCACACGTTTTTCGTGCAAAGAAGGATGTGCAGCTAAGCAAAATATACTGCAGTCAATAAATAGTTACCACTAGTCGAATGCTAGTTAGTTAGTTCTCTACAACCTTGACACTTAAATGTGGCAAGTATTTTCAACAGAAATTGTTGCAAAAAAGCAAAACCAATTTTTCGCGCTTTTTGCTAATTATCTATACGTATAATAAAATTGTAAGAGGCCGATGTCTGTACATCATAGATATTAAAGAAAAATTAATGAGGGGTATTTATTGGAGCAACAGAAGCCAAATCGATATTTTTTTTAGAATTTTTGTCTGTATGTCGCGCATCTCTCGAAAACTAATGCATGGAATTGAATGCAGTTTTCACCGATGTATTACTAGAGGTCTATCTTAAAATATAGAAGGAAAAAAATTAGAGAGTTGCCACCTGTTTGAAAATTGCAGTTTAAGTAAATTGATAACAAAAAGTAAGGATTGCAATATGGCCGTCAAAAGAAAGAGGTTTAAGAAGACTTATAGCTGAAATTTTTTAGGGTTGCCATCTTTTTGCAAATTTTTTATTTAATTTAATTGATAAGATAAATTTAATATTGCAATATTGGTATCAAACTGAAGAGGGTTAGGAAAGTTTACAGCCGAAAATATTTTTGAGGAGGGTTGAACATTTTTATTGAATTAAATTGATAAAATAAATTAAATCTATACTTATAAAAAATTGTAGCAGGCCGATGTCTGTACACTATATATATTAAAATAAAATTAATATCTTTATTAGAGCTTTAGTAGCCAAATCAACAATTTTTAGAATTTTTTCCGTCTGTCTGTGTGTTTGTACGCGCATCACTCGAAAACTAGTGCATGGAAGCGAGTTCAGTTTTCACCGATGTATCGATAGAGGTCTAACTTACAATATAGAAGAGAAAATTAGAGAGTTGCCACCTATTTGAAAATTTCAGTTTAAGTAAATTGATACGATAAAGTAAATGTTGCAATACGGCTGTCAATAGAAAGCGGTTTACAAAGGCCTACCGGTTTGAAAACTTTTATTTAATTAAATTGATAACATAAATTTAATATTGTAATAGAGGCATCAAATTAAAGAACTTGGGAAATTGTTAGGGTGGTTGCCGCCTGTTTGTATCAATTTAAAACGGTAAAATAAATGAAATATTACAATACGGATATTAAACTAAAGAGTTTTAGAAAGTTTACTTTCGAAAATATTTTTGAAGCTAAATGTTGCCATATGGAAATTAAACGAAAGTATTTGAGAATAATACAATTGTAACAGACCGATATCTTTACATAATAGATATTTAAAAAAAAATGTGTAGGCGGTTTATTAGATCAACAGAAGCAACAATTTTTACAATTTTGTTCAAAATTTCGCCTTGATATAACCACAAACTTAGTTTTATTCACATTCAATTCAAGTGTGTTCAATCATAACCAACCGCGCTTTTTGGAACTTCTGTGTGGAAGGTTTTTCGCTAAAAAAAATCAAAACTATTTGCTGTTGCTGCCAAAAAATGAAGAAATCTAAGATATCACGGTTTTACAATTTCATAAAAAATGGGGTTAGGTAAATTCTCCACAAGTTTGTATTGAAACTTTTTTATGAAAAATGCAAAATAAGCTCGCAATAAAAACAAAAAACCTAAAATCCAAGATGGCGGATTGTTCCCATATCAAATTTAGGGTTAAGGCTATGTATGAATCCATACCCTGCAGAAAAAAATTATCAATTGATAAAAAATAACTCACTTGTAGTTAGCTTTTTTGTTGGATGTCTCTAAAATATATAACTTGTAAGTAGCTACAAAAAGCTAACTTGAAAATAGTCGACAAGTAATGCAGGAGATTGTTTTCTTTAAACGCGTTTCTATTTAAATATCCTGCACTTCGCAAATACTTTTTCGAAAAGACGACAAATAAAAGGAAGATCGAAATTTCATATTATCATTTTGAAGTTATGTCTGACGGAGATTGATTATGGGACCACCTACACCAGAATATGTAAACAAATATGAAACGTAATAAAATAAATAAAGTAAACTTTAAAAAACTTAAAAAAAAAACTTTTTAAAACTTGAAACTTTTATTGTTTTTGGGTTCTTTGCAGTTTTAGTTTGATTTTGCATATAAAAAAAAATTACATACAGTCACTTCAACTGTTATAATATAAAAAAATTGCATACAGCATCGGTCGTATCAATGCACCCCCATTTCAAAGTGATATTGTTTACCACTTATATTTATTTATTTACTTTTAAGAAT